TTTGATTTCAAAATAATTTTTAGGAACTCATAAAAATTTCTCAAGCATTATAAATCACCAGTGGAGGCTGTATACTGTAGAGGTTACAGTTTTTATGAACTATTTAATATGAATAAATTATAATGTTAGTGATAATAACTTAGAAAAGGCTTTCTTATATAAAATAAGTTATTTAAACCCAGTATGTTGCCGTACACATTCTTGTTTACCTCTTCCAATTGTCAGTATGGCATGGGGTCTAGAAAGGCCCCAGGTATAGAAATTGATATAAACAATCAGATATGAGAAATACAGTGAATTCCAAGAGAAGGTAGAAATGTGCATGGGCAGTGGGCAGCGCTTTTACAGTTGAGTCATTCACGCGTACTATCGCTGTTCAGAAAACATTGGGTAGCCTATTGACGGCTAGGGATTATAATCGCTCAGATATATGATGTGCATGCTTTAGTAATTTGTTTCATTGTTTTTATGTGCGTTTGTACACGAAATGTGAATGTAATTTTTTGTTGCCGAGTTTTCCTGCCGATAAGCTAGAAAGCCTATGTTTTTCAAACTGTATTCAATGCAGCCATCTCCCTTCTCTGACGTCAGCTGAGTGCACAATTCCTCGCGAGAATACTACGTTGTTCTTCTTTTCTGTATCTCTCCTACCACCGTGTTTACCCTCTTCCTCCCTCCCTTCTTACCCATCTCTCTCACATACATAACATATACGTCCATATAACAAGTGCTTACATTTCATTATTACATGATTTTGAGTAATCTGTATTACTAATTTCCAATGCGCGAAAAAATCGTAAGAAAGCTATGCAGCATCTAGCTTTTTGAAAGGTATCTCTAGTTTTGTGAAAGTCCCAAGAACTCGGGAAAAGTGCTAAAACAATGAAACTGTTTCATATTTGACTGAAAAATACAAATATTGGATTGTGTTATTTCGCCCATTTTCATACTGCGAATAGAGACTGAATTTTCGTACTCGAAACCACTGATTTCATGCAAAACCTGTGTTTCAAATAAGAGGCTGCCCACGTTATTTTTGATTACACGTGTTGTTTTACGAAACAACTCTTTTTATATTCTTAGTCAGTATGCAGCTGTTGTGTAGTGTACTATGTTAATGCAGTATTCGTGAAGACTGTTTTTTGAAAGGTTTATTGTGTTGCAGTGTAAGAGAGTATTTTACTTGTTTTTGAGCAGTATGCGAACTTTTTGGAAAACCATTTTATGTAGTTTTATTCATCAGTATATTTGCTGATGGATACCACTAATCTAGAGCTCTGATTTAAGTTTATGTCAGAAGAAAAGAAACTCCATTTTTGGAAGGGATAAGGGGGGCACTTAATTACGCTGAGATACCACACTTTCATTATCAAATGCAATCTCCGAGGTAGATGGATGTTATATCTCCAAGACATGTCAAGGAATTCTGAGAGATGGTCACAGCGCCCTAGCAAAGTGAGCCGAATGCTTCATCCGCCCACATGTCGCAGTTTCCTCTTTTCCACCTCCAGCCCCGCGGGAGTCATAAGTCCTTTCCACGCTCGCATTTCTCGAGTGTGCTCCGGCTTTCGCGGGGTCACGGGCAGCGGGCTGGCAAACGCAGCTCCTGAAGGGCGCGTAACATGAAGTACTACGTTTTCGGAAAGCTTTATTCTCTTCTTGTCACGAGATGCGCAAAAGAATTAACTTGGAAGAGCGAATATTCACAATCCACCACTAGACGTAGGGGCGTAGCTGCGGTGCTAGTAGAATTTTTGACGGAAAGCTTCCGACATAGCAGGACCTGTACGGGAGAAAACTGCAAAATTCAATGTTACAAGTTTGTGTATACAAAGAACATCCGAACTATACTGAAAACTCTAAATAAGCAAAACATCGCATGAATGACGTGAACGGGTTACCTTGATTTTTTATCAATGTGATTTATGCAAGAAGCTGAAGAAATTCGATTTGGTTGTTGGCTTCTGTCCTTTTCTATTATTAAATATGTATGAAAAATCAATTTATGAAACACTAGACATTGTTAATGCGTGGATGAAACATTTTAAACATAAGAGCAGTGATAATCATCAGCATACTCCTTTTCTTTACTTATAAACCTAGTTCAAAGAAGGAAAGTCGTGAAAAAAAAACAAAAAACAATTGAAAAGAACAAAACTAGACATCTTATTATCTACAAGTATCAAAATATGCTAGCGACCGATAATTGTTAGATGCTGGGAATTTAAAAACTAAAATAATCAATCATGGGTTTTGGAAATTATAGCACAATTTCTTTTCCTATAAAGTGAGACTGCTTACATGCCGATATTTGGAAATTTTCAATATATGTAATATCGGATGTGCCTATATAAGTGTCAGATCGGTAACATATCTTTCCTTTCTTATAATGGTTGTGCTGTAAGTATTAATATCTACCTACTATACTCTTCACTTTTTCATGAAAGGAAATTAACAAGCAAACCAAAACTCTTGTTCGGTTGGCAGCGACACTTTTGCAATTAAATTGCTTTTATTTCATTATATAAACCACTAAAATATGATTCACGTTTCGGACATAATTAAGAAAAATACTTTGACATTTCACACTAAAGTATGTCTAGTTTTCAGGGACTTTTAAAAATGTTTTTCAGGTTTGATTAAATGTTGTACGCTTTCCAGATTAATACCATTTCCGGATAAAATCCTACCATTTGTTTTTACGTAAAACTCGTTTTGCCTGTTAGTATAATGAACTTAAAGCCGATATAGCAGCACTCACTCTAATTATACAACATTCTGACCTGATTCAGTGAAATATTTTGCTTCCACTGACCGCTTTGAAAGTTGAATGTAGCCGTGCGGATGCGAAACAAACATCACATTTTCATTAAAGTAAGCGCGGAATATTGTTATTCGCGGCTGGGTTTTTGATCACGTCAATATGCTCGGTTCGCGGGCTATCATACGGCTCTCTGCCCCATAAATAGCAAATGAGCCTGCTGACCACTACGCTTAATTATGGAAGGGGGCCAGGATGAACGCGATGGCTGCGATTCTGGTGGCAGCCAACGCACTACGCTGCCCTAGTACACGTCGGATTGACACTTAATAATCGAAAGTGAAACTTCATTATACCTGTACGACCCCAAACCTCAAAAATCGGTGCAAGGCAAATGCTCATTCAATGTTCAGTCATAACCGCTTCAGTGTTTGTAATGCTGATTGAAGAGTTAGGAAGATAATTATAATAACTTTCAATTTACATCGTTTAAAGAATATACTGTGAAATTGATCTATACGTTGTGAATTCTCCTTTCCTATATGTATTGATAAAGTTAAATAATATTACAAAACCATAAATAATCTCATTTAGAATAAAATGAAGTATCCGAATCATAAATGAGGTCTAGGAACAATGCAAACGCATTTAAAAATTTATAAATAATGATTATGTTCATTTTGATAGGTATATATTTGAACGTGATAACTATTTGGCCGTTACTGTTCAAAATTTGGGTAAAGATTTTCAACAATAAGTACGATAACTGCGAACCATTAAAAAATATTCAATGTGAGAGGAAATGCCAAACCAAACTTAAATGTGATAGACGCATTACTTTTGCGTTACGATATCATAATTTGCATTCTGGAAGTAACCATTTCCGGGCCAATTTACTTATTTCTTTAATTTATTAAAACGATCTGCATTATTATTCATGAGTCTCAGACTAATGTTAAAAACGTCTAGGGCATGTACAGGAGTAATAAATGATCACTTTTTGCCACTAAACGTATAGAGGAAAATTCCGTATCACGGAATGAATTTCCACATGTGCACGTAAAATAGGGAGGTCAGTAGTCCCGTAAATGTAGTGCATGTCCCCCTATGGAGATGGCGCTGATATTCCCTCGCTGGATGGCGAGATCTGGCGCCGACATACCGTTGGCAAGCGGGGCTTTCCCAAACCAGGTATTTCCCACCAGCAGGGCACCACCCAGCCGGGACAAGCTCTAGGGTCCCAGCATGTGTGGTAGTGTAGTGCATGTTTCCCACGATGTGCGATTTCTCACGACATGTTCACTGCCAAAAGATAATCAATTTCAACCTCTCTGCATGCCCTGGACGTTTGTGACATTTCTTCTGAGACATCCGCACAACATAGCAAGTGAGAGTGTACGCGTTTATACATAAAACGACTTAAAAAAATCAAGCAATTATTATCACTTATGGAGAGTTCCTAGACATTCTTTAAGCTGGTCGCATCGCATCGCATCTATTTCATGTGCTTCGAAGAGCGTCCACGTGACTTAAAGCGACGCTGCTGTGGCGGGCGAGGCAGAGACGTCTGTACGCCGTTACGCAGAATATGTCCCGCTTACGGCTGAGCCTGTGCGCCGTCAAGCATGTGTAAACACAGAGAATAATGTCAGAAAAAGTTTTGGATTACGCAATTTAAAGAGAATCGATTTTCCAGAAAATTTCCCGCACTTAATTTGTCGTTTTTCAAGAATATCCAAGCAATTAAAAAATGGTTTACAGGCATTGAGTAATTCTGACATCCCGTTTTGAACTAGACTGGTTGCGAATGGAAAGGTTTCAGTTGGCCCCACTGCTATCACTGGTCGAGTAGCGTTTTTCGGCAGCGCAGCGAAGCGTGCCATGAGGCCGCGGCTGAGGCAGAGGCTTTTGTGATACGTATTACATTTAGTACACGTGCAGGCGCGACTATGTCGTTGCAATCACTGAGCCCTTGCACTTCATTGCGTTTCAACAATCCAAGAAAACGCGGAAAACAATCAACGTTGTACCCAAATAATTCTGAGAGATTTCTCGAATTCGTCGAATCTCCGCGACGCGCGGCACAAGGCTGCGGCTCGATGCCGCGCGTGCTAGTGCGCGCGTGTGACGCAGTGTCTAGCGAGCCGGCGCGTTTAGTCAGTGGCGCGGCGCGGCGCGGCGCCGAGTGGTTCTGGGGACCGATGAAGGGAGGGGCGTGGCGAGGCGCGCGTGTACTTACGAAGGGGGGCTGGGCAGCGGCACTTGGTGGATCTTCCAGGTGGCCACGGACATGGAGTGCTCGTCGGCGGCGTAGCAGCGCCACAGGCTCTGGATGAGCGTGGCCGCGGGCTGCCGCCGACGGATCATGTGCTTCTGGCGCTGCTGCTGCTGCACCTTCAGCGCGAACCCCGAGCCCAGGATGCCCTGCAAGCAGCGCGCGCGCGCGCCGGCGCTCCGCGTCAGCGACGGGTTACGGGCCCAGGGGGGCGTGGCCAAACCATTTCGT